CTGCCTGGCTGCTGAGGGCTGTCCCCCTCCTCTGTTGCTATAGTGACTTCCCACAGGCACCCATCAGCTCCCTCCAGGCACACACACTCTCCCTGCCCAGCTCCCTCTGCCACAACTGATAAAGATGTCAGTGATTCCCACGATTTTTTTTTTTAATTTTTTTTTTTCTGTAAAAACTAATTCAGCCTTCCCAGCCAGAGGAATGTAGGAATGGAAGGTAACAAATAATGAGCTTGTGATCTGTCAACTTCTTGCACCTTGGGAGGCTGGGAAAGTCTTTTGCTTGCAGAGTTGGAAGCAGATACGGAGTGAGGTGGGTGGTGAGCAAGCAGGTACAGGTCTCCAACAGCAAGAAAAATGCACTGTTGGTTTGAAAATGTCAGCTCTGTCTGAGGAGACCAGTCCTGCCCTGCCACAACAGTGAGAGAAATTACAGTTTCTCATCTCTTGCCCTCCACAGATGGGCTGGAGACACGTGGCTGCTCCCTGGATTCCCAGCCTGTCCCAGCTCCCGCCTGCCGGTGGGATGGGAGTGACAATCCCGGGAGCCTCTTTGCTGCTCCCTTTGATTTTTCTGCCCTTCAAATCAGACACAATGGCTTCAAAGCGGGTCAGAGGGAGAGCTGACAGCAGCACTGGCCCCCAAGCGAGGGGAGAGGGAGGGAAAGTGGTGCCAGTTTTTAGCGTGTGGGGGGTTTAAAAGCGAGGCAGCTGTCGGGAGCCTCCTCCAGAGCCAGGGTGCTCTTTTCATCACAGTGACTTTGCTGTGCTTGTTTTGCCACCTGTGCCAGGGACAGGGTGTCACTGTGTAGCCAAAGGGCTGGGCACAGCCAGACCTGAGCCACCAGCAGAGGTTGTGGCCTCAGGTTTGCACAGGAAGAGGTAAAGGACAGGCAGGAATAGGCAGAGGTGCAATCTAAGCCATCCCTTCTTGGTATCTTTGGCTTTCTCTGGTCACCATCCTTCAGCTTCTGGCGGGGGTTGAAAGGGAGTAAAATCGGGAGGTGCTGCCTTTGGCCCTTCCCTCCTTGTCTCCTGCTCCTTTGTCTGGTTTGGAGTGATGGGAAAACCTCTTTGCCAAAGTCCTGAAGCATGATTTGGGACCAGCTGTGCTTGGCAGTGAAACACAGGCTTCCAGGGGGATCTGCAGATTAATGCCTCACTTTCCTGAGCATCTGTTCCCACAACTAACTCACTTGTTTAGTGAGAATTTTGGAAAAGGGCTTGAGTGATCTGGTCTGTGATCTCTAGAAGAAATCATCCCCATGGAAACATCTGTGTCCTCTCTGCATCCTTATATACTTTTACCCTCTTTTCTTCTATTTTGGTGGCTATCACAACCCTTTCTAAATTCTGGAGAACAGGCTGAGTTATTGAGTTTCATTTGTCCTCATAATTTTGTGGGGCTGGAGCCCAAAATGGGAAACCCCCCAGTGGCTCGACTGTCCTTTTCCTGCAACCCCAAAGAGCTTTTCCTCCCTTGTTCTCTGCATCTGCGGGGGAAGAGACAAGCCTGGAGCCTCTGGTAGGCTCAGCCCTGCTGCCAAAATTGCTTCCCCAGCCTTTAATCCCCCAGGCCAGGTTGTGTTGCCGTGTCCCCCCCCCTGCCCTGCTGCGGGAAGGCAGCGGCGCTCGCACGGCGCGATAAGGATGGAAAAGCAAACGTGGCCCAGGCTGGGCCTTGCTGGAGTGGAGATTGAAGATTGTCAGGCTCTGGTTTAATCTCCTTTCCTCTCCTTCACAGGCAGCTGAGCTGGGAATGGCGTCTGCCTATTACACCTATATCTTCACTAATCTGGTAAGACGTCGCTCGC